GACATCAAAATAGACATTTATACACCATTCGATAGAGAATTGGAAGGGCTATTTTTTGCAGTATTTATATTTGGTAAATAAGAGAATCGACTTTTTCGCCTAATGTCCGCTTGGATGCCCACTGTGCTGAGTAAGGTTAAAGCGACAAAAACTTCACAAGTCGATTTTTAATTATTATAAAAACTTTTACAAAAACTTTCTGTTATTTTAGCTACTACAAAGCTTCGAACTTCTTCAGCTCAATTACATCGATTGTTTTTGAAATATAAAATGTAATCAATTTACAACAGCACAGTGGTAGAGAACGGTTGTTTGTACCAAGCGTAAAAAAGAGGCAAAATTAATATTTCACTCGGCAATTACATTAAATGCATGTAGTCTTTTTAAACTCAATACCGTTCGATAAATCGTGTGGAATATAAATAATTTCAACAGATGAGAAAATCTTTTTTTACTGAAAATTAGGATGTCTAACTATAAGTTGTCTTCTCTGTAATTGAATACATAGAAGAAACAAAAACAAATGTCTAATTCGATCGAGTACTTTTGTAAAAAATTCCAGACTACAACTACCATCAAAATCACGCTCGAATAGTATTCGTCCATTTCTGCTTTTGTCTCTTTGGTTTCTTGAATAAGTAGTATCAACATATCACATAATCAAAACATAATAGAACAATAAAATGTTCAGAATTTTAACAATACAAGGCTTAGAAATATTTGTTACGTGAGTAAAAATGAAATATGTTATAAGGAAGAGGAAAAAAATTTTATTTTACCTTGAAATAGGTAGTAAAAAAACTTTTGATGTTTTATAGTGATTTATGTAAAATATTTCTTTCTCACGGCGTACTCGTACAAGTATGCCTGTAACAATATCTTCATGACGACAACTATCACGTTATCTTTATAGACACAAAAATAAATGAATAGTAAATATTTTTTATTGAATCCGACAAAAATGTTTTTCAATGAAATAATCGATATTTTTACTGAAAATTGATCAAATAGTAAGTTAATAATTCTACAAAAACCTTTAGTAGACTCGGTCTAACTATTAGAAACGTACTGTCATGGTTGTGTCAGATTAAATTCATTCATCCAAGAGAGTTAGGTATCCTAATTTTCAGTAAAGAAAAGATTTTCTCATTTTTTGAAATTCTTTGTATTCCGACATTGAAAGTTTGTAATTATGATGCTATTATACTGCGTCATTCTCTTAGTTAGAAAAGGGTATAAAAATAACCGACCTTGAGCAATAGATGAAAGAAACTCTGTATTCCTTTTACACACTGATTTTGACTTAATTCTGAAAAAAAACGTTTTAACCAATGTCATTTTGAGCGTTTTCTTGAATAAAATTAGTCTTTCACTATGAAAGGAGGGAAATTTTAGAGCGGCCGTTCCGGTAGAGAATTTTCAGAACAACACTGTTCCCGTTCTGAGAATTATGGAACGGTTACATCTTTGACTAATTCCTCCTCTAGTAGCTTAAACAACTATGACCGACGATTGTATTAAAATCTTTATGAACCTCTCTTACGCTCATTGAGGATTGAAATCATCATATTAAATGGGCACAAAAAATGGCAAGTACGATGTCTATCGATCAGTAAGCCCAAAAGATGGTGATATTTTGCCAGTGACAATATCCGATTCATCTCAAAAATCGAGTACAATTATTTTTATTCAACAAGCAAAAATCGAGCAATTACCAAATGCTGAAAGATTGTTAATTGTTTGGCTTGATAGTCTCGTTGAAAAACAAAAAAGTCACCTTGACATGCAAGTGAAACTAAGAAATATTTTTGGGTATTTAAAAACATTCGATCAGATTGAGTCTTGTGAAAAGTATGTGAGACAAGTAAATGGACAATATGAAAAAATTCTATTTATTGTTCAAGGAAATTTAAGTAATACGTCTATACCACGTTTACACGACTTACCGCACATCAAATATATTTATATCTATGGAAAAGGTAAAGGAACGCCAAATCAACAATGGGCCAGCAGATACCCAAAGGTATTTATAAAAACTTCTTTTATTTATCATTGTTTATGAAAGGAGCAGAAGAAGCGTTTCCTCATGCAAATTAGCCCAAATGTAAGACTTCTGACATTTTAGTTGTTAGATCAAAGTTGCTCAGAGAGAGGGATCAATGATCAAATAAATGATTGAAAGAAGTTCGGTGAAAACAATACATTAGACCCTAGAAGATTTCGTTTATCAAAATAGTTTGTTTTTCCAATAAGTACGTTTTTTTAGTGCAGCGATGAGAGTTACTTCATCACTGACGGGAATTACCAATTATCAAGCACCATTTTTTTTTGTTTTTTATAGGTACGCGGAATATTCACAAGTTCAAAACAATTAATTGAGCAAATAAACGGAGATCAAGCAGATACCTAATTGCGGCTAATAGTAGATTTTCAATGTATATTGAACAAGGGAGAAACAAGTTTTATAGTACCAAATTGCACAACATTACTTTTTCTTATGTAGCTGATAATTTTTTTTTAAACGCTCAAGATGTGAAAATGCATTGAAAACAACTTTTGTCCGTCAATGAGAACGCGCGTGTCCATTGGTGGTACATCCTAAATTCTTAAATATCCGGCTGCTAATTTTGAACTTTCTAGCATTTACACTCTATGACTAACTTATGTCTACACATGGATATATTATTAAAGCCTTTCTTTTTAATTTCAACACAATATTGTAGTTTTATTTATTTTTTTCTGCATGTAATGCAATCTAGTACACCGCCATTCAGATCTGGAATTGATTTGGAATTGACTAATACTTGATCTCTGGTGTTCACGATATAGTGAATTTTTGCTATGGCTTTTGAAGGTTGTTGTATTAAATAATGGCGATAATGTTATAAAACACCGTGGACATGCTAATGCTGTTGTTGATTATCAAAATGTCTGACTAATGAGTCAGTGATTGATTCGATTTACGTTGTTTGAATGACATGGTTGTTCAACCAATTTCTGACTTGCTGTTCCCATAAGTGAAAAATCGAAAAAATTTCAGTCTTTTTTAAATCTTACACACCACACCCGTCACAAGCCAGAGGGTAAATAGATCAGAAAGTCACTAAGCACTTCGTTGAACTACTATAACACTTTTTTAAGTGAAAAACGACTGTTGAAATGAATTCTGTCTCTAGCCATCTATGTATGGTCACCCGCACAGATCTCCGCAATAATCACCTATTTACAGACCAGAGACCGAATTGGGCCATGAATGTCTGAGCCGAATCCGACCAAACCCGATAAGTTTTTGATCCAATCTGAATTGCTGAACAAATTTTCGAGTTTTGACTCGAATGACCTGGAAATTGTTCATCGATGAGCCGACAATGACCAGTAACTACTATCCATTCAAAAATATAGTTCACTCCATTGTTTTGTGAATAATTTCTAATAGGACTGAGTTAGAGACTTCCAGTTTCTATCATTGTGTAGAGAAGACCTGAACGGAGACACCTACGGAAAAATAAAGTTGCTGGGGTAACCTCAAGGGGGAAAAAGCGGACTTCTGGACTCCTGGACTCCCATGGACTCCTGGACTTCAGGAGTCCATGGGAGTCCAGGAGTCCATAGGAGTCCATAGGAGTCCAGGAGTCCATAGGAGCCCAGGAGTCCATAGGAGTCCATAGGAGTCCAGGAGTCCATAGGAGTCCAGGAGTCCATAGGAGTCCAGGAGTCCATAGGAGTCCATAGGAGTCCAGGAGTCCATAGGAGCCCACGAGTCCATAGGTGTCCATAGGTCTCCACGAGACCAGAAGAGTACACGAGTCCAAAAGAGACCAGG